CATTAGCCAGTGGTTTTATAGAATGCATGGTTAATTTAATGTTTGAAAGTCAAACAAAAACAACTTCCACATAAATAAAATAAAGCAGAAATAATCATAGTCATTTCAATAGATTCAGAAGCATTTTAATGCAACTCAGCATCAGTTCTTATAATAGTTCTTTGAAAACTAGGACTAGAAGAAAAAGTTCTTTAATCAGATGAAAGGTATCTACAAAATATTTTCAGCCAGCTCCTCAGACAAAGGACTATTATCTAGAATATATAAAGAACTCAAAACAACCAGCCCCTCCCAAATATAAAGACCCAATTAAAAAATGGGCATCTGAAATGAACAGACATTTCTTAGACAAAGAAATAAAAGCAGCAAGTAAATGTATGAAAAAATTTTCCACATCACTGGTCATTCCAGAGATGCAGATGAAAACAACACTGAGATTTCACCTCACCCCACAAAGAATGGCTGCTGTCAAGAAATCACACAATAACAAATGTTGGCGGGGTTGTGGGGAGAAAGGAACCCTTCCCATTATTGGTGGGAGTGCAGACTGGTGCAGCCACTATGGAAGTCAATATGGAGATACCTCATAGAATTCGGATTAGAGGTTCCATTTGAGCCAGCCATCCCTCTGTTGGGTATCTTTCCAAAAGAATTAAAAGAATCATACCAAAGTGATATATGCGCACCCATGTTTATAGTGACACAGTTTGTAATAGCTAAAACTTGGAAACAGCTCATTTGCCCATCAGTTGGAAACTGGATAAAGAAGATGTAGTTTTTCTATAAAATGGAATACTACTCAGCCATAAAGAATGAAAAAGTAGATTCATTCATAGGTAAATGGGTACATTTTGAGCATATACTCCTAAGTGAAATATATAAGTCACACATGTGTAAATACTGAACAGTTTCTCCAGTGTGAAAAACTAAAATAATACTCAAGATCCTAATGGGATAATTAGCAATATGAAATAGGAAGAAAACGACCAAAGGTGTAGGGACAATAAGAAGGATAGGGAAAGGGGAATAAGGGAAAAGGAAAAAAAATATGAGAAAGTGTAAAAATGGAATTAAAGTGTTTGTAGGTGGGGAGGGGAGGCGGGGGTGAAGGGAGGGTAGGGACAAGGGGAAAAAATGAGAACCAAGACCTGGCATGTAAAGGTACAAGATCCCAGTAACGAATGTAACTGTACTGTCTACCTAGAGTGTACCAATAAATTCAATTTAAATAAAAAAATATTTTCAGCCATCCATTTTCAGTGAAACCAAACCAAATGCCATAATGACACAAACACAAAATGATACAAAATCTAACAAAAATGTGCAAGTCTTTGGAGAAAACAATGCATGATTACTGAGACAAGGTACATAAATGAAGGGGTAATCCAAGTTCCTGGATTGGGGGATTCAATATTGTAAAGTTCTTGGTTTCTTAAAAACTTGCTTATAAATATGTGACAAGTGTCACTGTTGACTTAATTGGATTGCGTAAGAGATGGTGGAGAGATGACTGGATCATGGCGTTCACAGCTGCCTGTGCACTAGGAGGTGGCCCCTGCGAGGAGATGGGCTTCTCTGTGGAGACAGTGGCACTCTTCCTCTGTGCTCTACTTCCTGGCTGCCATGAGCTGAGAAGCTTCACACTGCCATGCACTGCCGCCATAATGTTTTTGCCAACCATGGCTAACCTTCCCGAAGCTGCATGAAGCCTCTCCTCCTCGAGGTCATATGTGCTGGGCATTTTGTCCTAGCAATGAGAAAGGTAGTGCAGTTCTGGTAAAAACCTTAAACGTTTTGTGGAAAATGACAAAGTGATTCTAAGTTTATGTGAACATTTTTAAAGACCAATAGTACTGGAAACCCTTGCACAGGACCCCAATCTCCTCCTGTTCAGTGCTAGGATGCAAAGTGAGAAGAAAGACTCAGACAGAGTTAAAATGAGAAGTGGCGAACTGGGATGGTCAATGCTGAGCAAGCAGCAAAGACCTGCTGATATTTATGGGTTACACAATCATCCCTTAAACTGGAGTAAGGGGACTACATGTGGTTGCTAGAGATAAGTTACTAAAGAAGGCTGGGGTTGAAAAGGAACAGACAAAGCATTCTCGTGTTAGGAACAGAACAGAATAGACATAGGTTGTGGTTAACAGTTAACCTTGTCTTTTCAGTTAAGAAGGCTTTCATTCTGGGAATGGAATTTGGGTGCAAGTCATCATTACCTCAGCTGTCCTGTTATCCCATATTAGGCCCCACAGCTTGACCTTTTCTACGGCCTCTGCCATTGCCTTGGGGGTGTTGATACTGACCCACATGCCACCACTAATGCTTCTGTGAGTCACATAGGCTTCAGCCAGACTCCTTTCTTTAAACAAGCCAATTGTGAGGTTAACTCTTCTACAGCCTGCACTGCTTATATACTTCTTTGAGCATAATCAACAGGGTGGTCTCCCATTAAAATAATAAGGCAGTTTTGGAAAAGCAAACAACTTGCTTTACAAGAGAACATTTATTATAAAGTTAATACACTGAGATGGTTATACAAAATTGGACACATACATAAATGGAGTAAAAAAATAGCTCAGAAGCAAGCCTGCCTATATGTGGACATCAGCTTTATGACAACATTGGCAACACTAAACAGTGGAGGAAATGGGAGCTTTTCAAAACTCCTGGAAAATATGAAACACTTTCTCTCAGGCTTGACCTGGTCATGAAATGGTTAATGACTATGTGCTTTAATTTCAAGCCACAGTTTGACAAGATGCAAAAAATCACAGCAAATCAAGCAGCCAATGCAGGTGCTGTCTCTGCCCGACAAAAGTTGTGCTCTCTTTGGAGAAGACAGAACACAGAGCACGGGATGGGTTGTTCCTAATATAGAGACAACTACAAATTACAGTGTCTTTTCAATGCCAAGTCACCTGAAAATATCCTCACATCTGCCTTGATCACCGCACGGACCCTAACCACACATATTTTCTCTGACCCCTTCAGGTGATAGACGTGCCAGATCACCCTTCCAATGCCCTAAAAATCTTTCTACCTTTTCTTTGTTCAGGGCTGGTGCCCTCTTGCTTGCCTTCAGTCCACCTTGCTCAAGTGAATAAATTCTGTACCTCTTTGCTTTCACTGGCTTGCTCAGGTGGTCTCCTTCCACCACCACTTGTTACAGTTTTGACATCATATGTACTTAAAGTCGCTTTAAAATCTGTAATGTGTAGATTAGTGAATCACACTACATTCAGTTAAAATTTTTATTCACCAAAAAATACCATTAAATAACCAAATATCAATTTTTGGTAACATCATAAAAATATAAAATACAATTCATAATGACATAAATGTATAAAATACATAGTATTAAATGTAACAAAATGGACAGGAAGACTAAATAGAAAACAATATATAATATTGAGATAAAGAACTTGAAATAAATCCAAAATAAAGAAAAAATTGCAGGAGCAATAGTTAAAGAATATATTAACTCTAAAAACCGAAATGAAAATTACAGAACATAAGCTAAGTGAGAATATGAACTTGAGAGATTAAAAGGTCAAATCACAGCACACTTGACTCTTAATTCAACTAACAGCCTGCTAATATACACTTTATTAAAAAAAACCTCACAAATCATTAAGAAAAAGACAAAAAATAATGGGCAAGACACTTGAAGATTTATCTCAGATAAATATAAACAGATGCTCAAAAAAGAAATAAAAATGTGGTCACTTTCATCAATAATCAGAGAAATATATGTTTAAAACAAAAAAAAATCCATATGCCAGAGTGGCCAAAAGCTAAAAGACTGATAACAGGAAGTTAAAATAAAAATGTTGATTAACAGGGGCTCTTATTCATTTTATAAAAATGTTTGAAGTTATGTGTAAAATTTAAAGAGTCACATGATTTCAGGTCCAGTGATTTGACTCCTAAGTACAATCAACTATGGAGGCAAAGTTTGATCAAAAACTACAGTGAATGTTTAAATGAAAAATACATTGCAGAAAAAGATGCATTGTCATTAATTCATTTCAGGTTTCTCCACACACACTTCTAACACACTTCTCCCTTCATTCCTGTCCCCTTTCTGAAGCAGATCTGGAAGTCTTCTTTCGTGAGTGTCTTTACCACTTGTGATTAAAAATGCATTGAATGCTGCTGCCAAATACCATCCGATGGAAAGGCGGGCTTGTCAACATGATGCTGTGCCCTCAACCACTTAATTCACCAGCTCTGGCACTGCATGACTTCTGGCTCTTCCCCAAAGTCCAAATGACTATGGAAGGTAAATGTTCTGAATTGATTCAGGACATCTAGGCAGCTAGGACAGCAACTAAAGACACAAAGAGGAATTCCAGAGCTGCTTCAGAAAGTAGCAGCTATAACGGGATGAGTATTTTCAAAGCAGAGAGAAGTATTTTGAAGAGTATTAATGATGATGTTGTTTTTACTGTAGTAATTTTAAAATTTAAATATTTACTGTGTGTTTTGGTCACACCTCCTATTCCACAAGAATCAAGAGATACGAGCAGAGAAGTGCATAACAGCACTATCATAGTGGCCAAAAGTGAAAAAAAAACACCAAAACTAAAAAACAAATGCCCATCAGTAATACATTGATAAATAATTCCTGTTATGTTCATTTACTTAAGTGGGGCAGATACAGATGAGCACAGCTGCAGGCTGAAAAGATGAGTCCTGATGACAGGATAGTGTTTCCCCAGGAGACAGAGCTAAGCCATCCTGCTCAGGGAAGAATTTCAGAGGTTCAGTGAAAGGAGAAGCAGTTAAGTGACCACACAGGCCAACATTGCGACACCTTGGGAAGAAAGAGCTTGGCCTGCCAGGTGTGGTGGCGCACGCCTGTAATCCCAGCACTCGGGAGGCTGACGCAGGAGGATCGCTGTGAGTTCGAGACCAGCCTGGGCTACACAGTGAGTTCCAGGTCAGTCTCAACTACATAGTGAGACCCTGTCTCAAAACCCACCCTCTCCAAAAAAAAAAAAAAAAAAGAGCCTGGCCTGGAGCCATGGTGCTGGCTTCTGTGCTCCAGAAGTTTCTATTTCAGGAGGGCTGGCTCTGCATATCTCTGCTGTGTTTCAGAACACTGAGCACTGAGCCAGCAAGAATTCAAGTGAAAAACCCCCAATGTTCTTGCCAGTCCTGAAGAATTCTTCTCCTTTTCTTAATTTCATGATGCTAGAGAGGAAGGAAAGGAAAGGAGTTCAGAAAGGAGGCCCCAGCCTTCTCTCTGTGGAGCAGTCTGCACCACAGCTCTTGCTCCATGCAGCCCCACTTCCTGGCCCTCCTCTCTCTCGGGGTGTGGACTAGCATCACTCTGGTCTGCCGGGACAGCTTCCAGAGCTTCTGGGGTGGACCCTCAGCTGGGAGGGCCCTGATGGCAGCCTCGTTCTCTGTGCTCTCTGTCAGTGACCAAGTACTTCTAGGAAACATAACAGGAGGGGTCAGGCCAGATGGCCAGGAGTGTCCTCACAGTGTGCCCCTGGGCCCTGTTGCCCCCTGCGACTGCCTGCCCCGCTCTGGCCCAAGCCGTGCACTGAAGGAGAGCAAAGCCCCTGGCCTCCCCAGCCAGAGTAAACGTGTCTGAAGGGCAAGCACAACAAAACCCAAGCTCCAGGATTTCCCGGGTGTCCTGGCATAAAAGGAGCCCCAAATCTCCCAGTCCCACCATGAACTCAGCACAGCTGGCCCTGACCTGGCTGCTCTTGTTTGCACCAGCGGCCAGGAACGCAGGGGTGTTCTGCAGAGACCCCGCAGCAGAAACTCTCCAGCCAGCTTCTTCCAAACTAGGCTGAAGAGCTGCTCTGGTGCCCCGCATCTGAAGAGAGCTGGAGAGAGAGAGAGCAGTGCTGTGCTCTGTCAACAGAGCCTGGAGGGTTCTGCTGGAAAAGGGAAGGGAAAATCAATACGGATGTTTAAAATGCAGTGCTGTCTGCAAAACAGTGTCTGCAAAGGCGTCCCAAGGAAACCCAGGAAAGAGAGACAGGGAACCATTTCTCTGGCATCTGAGAAGGAATTTCCACGGTGGGCCCAGTCTTTGCCCAGGAGACTCTCTCTTGGATCCCCTAGTGTCTAAGTAACCCTGCAAACCACAGACTCCCACTCCACATGGAGGAGGCCACCAAACCCACTTAGTCCCCACCGGTTCTCTATCCATCATTACCTTTCGCTTGCCCAGCACAGAGTGGTGTCTCATCTGCGATTGTGGAGTGGATCATCATGCGACCATTAATCGTGACTTTCCACTTGACTCTACTGAAACACCTACCAGATTAGTAAAGCAGTCTGGTGCTTCTCTGGGGCGTTTCCAGAGATGATTGGCACGCAGGCCAGCAAACCGAAGGTCGAAGACCTGCCCTGATCGTGGGTGGCACCATCCAGTTGGCTTGCAGCCTGCTCAGAATGAACACTGAAGAAGGAAGTTAGGGGGGCATATGAAAAGCTCCATTCAGCTTGAGCAGGAACATATTCTGCTACTCTTTGCCTGTGAACTGCATACTCCAGTTTCTTCAGCCTTTAGATCAGCTCACACCAGCGACTCTCCAGGGAGTTCAGGCCTTCAGTCTTGTACTGGCCGCTCCTTGATCCCTCTGAGCAGCTGCTGGATCGTTGGCTCTGCAGTGTGCAGCCCCATTGTGGACTGTCCTGCCACCGATCTGGAGGGTTCCAGAAGAGACAAAATTCAATGAGACCTTTAGATATAGTCAGACTCCCAGAATTCACTCCACTGCTGTCACCCCTACATTGTCTATCAAGAAACAACAAACACACTCAGTACTCAGTTACATGTATATTACATTTTTGTCTGGGTTTGTACTATAGATGTGTCCTATCTCATCAGTCCATAGGCATTCTATACAGTGTCTGTGCTGCTTCTGTACTGATGTGGGGGAAATATATATTCTCTTCTGCTGCATCCAACCTGACTAACAGTGATTTCTATTTTCCCATGGTTCTGTGCTTCTCTCCTGAGCCAACTTGTGTAAGGCTGGATGGTCTGTGATGGACTGGTATATCTAGGACTGTGGCTGGACCAGGCTGAAGGCTGGAGTGTATCTTGGCGGTCTCTCATCCCCAAGCAGGATGACTCAGTGTTTCTCTCATGGCCTCAGAGTGCATAGTAGCAGAGAGGACAAGGTCAACTCTGCAAGTGTTTGTGAGCCTTGTTCGTGTGACACTGTCTTAATGTCCTTAATGTTGGCTAGAGCACCTCATTTGGCCCAGACCAAATGCAAGGGTAGAGAAATAGACTCCATCTTTTTTTTTTTTCCAATACCTGAGATTGAACACAGGGTTTTCGCTCTAAGCTACATCCCCAGCCCTTTACAGTACTTTTTATTTCCAGACAAGGTCTCGCTAAGTTGCCCAGGCTGTGTTGGAATTTTTGATTCTCCTGTGTAGCTTCCAGAATTAAACATAAGAGAACATTTCCATGACTTCATGTGGGCAAAGTTTTTTAGAGTGGATATGCAAAGTAACCAATAAAACAATGTATAAGTTAAACTTTCATAAAATTATTTTACACTTGCTTATCAAAAATAAACCTTTAAGAAAAATAATAGGTAAGGCACAGAGAAAATGTCCACAAAACATATATTTGACAAAGAACCTATATCCAAGACATTTAAAGATTTCCTACAACTCCATATTTGACAAACTCCAATTAGCAAACTTAAAAAATAGAAAATATAAAGATTTGAAGCAACAGAAATACTATCTATCTTTAGCTTGAGTTTAAGTGGGCATAGATCATTTAAAAAGTAATTTTTTGAATGCAGTCAAAGCAATTCCATTCCTTGAAGTGTACCATGAAATATAGGAATACATGTTCACATGTGCGGATTGCTTGAAATAGCCAAAAAAAAAAGTGTTCAAAAGAATCTGCATATCTATGAAAGAGAATGGGTAAATTGTATAATATTTATATAAGAGAATAGTATGAATCAGTGAAAATACTGAGAGCCATTGGTGTCAATGTGGATGATTCTGACTAATATAACACAGAGTGGAAAAATGCAGGAGGATACATATAGCTTGATGCCATTTGTTTAAAATGTTAAAACAGAATGCAAGTGCATGATTCTAGCAACACATACATATGTGGTTAAAATATGAAAAACATGTTGAGAATGATGCTAAATAAAGAAAAGTGATTAACTCTGGGTGAAGGAGAATGGGACTTTCAACTTCACTTACGATAGTTTATTTCTTTAACAATAGGTGGAGGGGGTAAATGGGAATTTGTTACAGTACTTGCTAAAGTTTTCAAAGGACGTTAACTAGGTTGAATTTAATGTAAATAAATTGAACTCAGCTGAATTTAATGTAATTAGGGTTTTTAGTGGGTTAGTTTTTGTTCACTGCTCTGTGTATGCATTGTTTCCCCAAAGCTGAAAGTGTCCACTGCCAGGGTTATCCTCTGTGAAGACATGGTATAACATCTCAGAGGTGGGCACACTGATCAGTTTCACTAATTATAAATTTCACCAAAATTATATCTTGAGTTGAAGCCATTTTAAAAGATTAAGTATTGAAATAAAAGTTGATATGACCAAAACACCAATGTTAACTTGTGAGGCACTTGTGCATTTTTCATGAGTCTCTCACCCTGTAGTCTTCAGCCATTTTCTGTGGCTATAATGTGATATCTCAGACTGAGTAATTAATAAGAGATTTTTTCACTCAGCTCTGGAGGCATACTCTTATAAGAATGACGGTATATCTGGACAAACTTCAAATTAACATTTTTTCTTAGACTCATCAAAAATTAGGTCAGAGGGCAAATGGCTAAGGTGAAATTAGCATCTTGCTAGAGAACAGAAGTCACACATTGACCTACCTCACAGAGACACTGACAACCACACCTGTGCAAGTACGCAGATTCTACTAGGATTTCTAAACGAATTTGTCATGGACAAGTGTGGGCTGATGTTAAAATATGAAGCGTGGGTAGAAGTAAGAAAAAGAAACAGTCTGAAGAGACAAAGCAATACTTAGAATCAGATATGATGCAGATGTTAAAATTGTCATCCGCTATGTTAAGCCTCTAGTGGTAAAGGTGACAACACACACGATCAGACAGCTAAAGTCATTGGGGTGCACAGACTGTGCTGAACGAAGAGTCCTTGACAGCCTCATTAGGAGACCTGAAGAGCAGGGAGCATTAAATAGGTTTATAAAAATTACATAGGTGGAGATGTATAAAGTAAAAGAGCAGAAAAATAAAATATCAACCCAATTGTTCAAAATCTGAGGCTAGTGTCAAATAGTGTAAATATAAGTGGAATCCCAGAAGGAAAGGAAGAATAACAACAAAGAAAACATCTGAAGACAGAATTTTCTAAAATTAGTCACAGACACCAAACACACAACCCAGAGGAACAGAAAATGCCAAGCAGAGTAAACTATACATATCAAAACAAACAAAAAAACCCTAAGTGTAACATAATCAAGCTGCTGAAAACCAAAGACAGAGGTGACTAGAGGAAAAAAGACAACCAACTTGTAAAGGAATAAGCATTACAATTACACCCAACTCACATCAGAAATTGTGCAGCCCAGAAGATGAGTGAGTGACCTCTTTTCTGTGCTGAGGGGAAAAAAAAAAAAGCTTCTTATGCCGAATTCTCCACTCCCAAAAATATCCTTCAAAAGCAAAAAAGAAATATTTTCTTAGACAAACAAAGCTCGAAGAAACTTATTGTCAGCTGGCTTGCTCTAAAGGAAATGTTAAAGAAAATTCTTCAAGTAGAAGAAATTTAAAATGAAGAGCACTAAAAAAGGAATGAAAGGAGGCAAGTAAGACATTTATTTTTAATTTCACTCTTGCTTAAAATCTGTTTAAAGTGGTAATTTATAAGAACATTCCACAGCATGCCTAGTATATGTTAAAGTAGAATGTGCAACAAAGTAGCAGTGAGGAGTTGGGAGCCCAGGAAATATAGTCTTCAGATTCTTACACAACATACAAAGCAAGGTGATATTAGAGGAAGCTAGAGTCTCATTTTAAAAATGAACATATCAAACCCTAAATCAACCACTAAAAATATTTAGAAAGAGTATACCAGGAAGTCAACAGCGTGATAAAGTGGCATCACAAAACACTCAAGTAAACACAGGAGAGGCAAAAAAGGAGAAACAAGAACAAATGGAACAAAAAGAAAAAACTAGCAAGATGGCAATTCTCAACTCAGTCACAGCAATATTCACTACAACTGGAAATGGTTAAAGCATGCCAGCTAAACGGTGTGGACTATCAGACTGGATAAAAACTAGACTCTTTCTATGCTGTTCAGAGGAAAATCTGCCTGAAAGAGAAAGCATGGAAAGAGGCACCACTATACATTAAATAAAATAAAGCTAGAGTAGCTTTGTTGATTCAGTGCTAGGTAATATCAAACCGAAATTTAATTTAAAGCTTAATTTCAAAACTTGTTACAATAATCACTGCAGAAAAGAAAAAAATATAGTCAGGGAATTTAAGGGTCACACTGAATTTCTATTTCATACATGCTATTACTTAGATTTTCTTATTGTAACACACATTGATTAGATCAAAAATTACTGGTATTTTACCATTTGGAAATAACTGCCAATGCCATGTCATGTATATTTTTTATTCCCGCAAATAATTTTCTACTCTGCAGGAGGATTTTGTCCCTTTATACCAGTTAGTAGGGAAACATACCAGCATCTTTTGAAAATGCTGTTGGCTACGGGCATTTAACGTTTCCTCTTCTCCAATGTTGCCTAACAGATCCAGATGGAAACCCAGGCAGGAGTGAACTGAATTATTTTGTTTGGCTATTGGGAAACTTTTCATGCTTGTCTGAAAGTAATGAGTTTCTTCTATTTTATAAGGTTTTCCGCTTTGGGAGAAACTAGAATTGGTCAAAGAACATTTATACATATCTGCCGGTACCTTTTAAGTCAATTTATCTTTCAGTTAGAGGGTGATGTTGCTTTATTAACTTCTGTGAATCAAGTACTGACTGGAAGTCCTTGATTTCAAGGCTTCATTAGTGGTACGTTCACACTTACTGTTAGTGTACAGTAATATTCAAAGGGCTTCTAAAGGCCAAGATACATTTGCAACTGAGGGCTATTCTAATGCAACAGTAGCCATTTTTAACTAATCTGATTTAGTTTGTGTTATGTTAGGAAATTTGAAGTTCTTAAAAGGGCTGACAATAAAGGATTCCCAAGGGTGGTGATGACTACAGGTAGAAATGGTGCTCACTAATCCATTTATAATGAAATAGTTATTGGTTGTTTACTGCGAACAGTTAAAGAACCTAAAAGAATATAATCCATGTGGGCAGACTGTTACCATGGGACACCTCATAATAGATTCATGGCTGTTCATAACTTTGCCGTCAACCAGATCTGCTCAGACTCTGCAGATATCTATGGAAAGTGGCACCACACTGGCAGGTCCCCTCTTCTGGGGACAGAGGACACTACCCAGCCCTGGGGGGCCTTGGGTTCTGTAGGCCAGACACTAACACGATGCCTGTGTGTCTGGGTTTCTTCATTTGCAAACAGAATCAAATGATTTTCCAAATTAGGTGAAGGATAACAACGTATTTGGCAGAAAATTTAAAAGGCATGCTACAAATGTGTGATGTGGGATCTCTTCCTAGTCCAGAAGCAGGGTTCTTTTGTCCATTTATTCTGTTGCAAAGGGTCTGATTACCTCTTTACCAAACCAGAAACCATTGATAATCACCAACACATGATACTGATGTTCAAGATAGGAACTCCTCCTATCTCTGGGATTAGGAGCAGACTACATAGCAATACAAAGTGCATAGAAAAAGACAAGATGTAACAATCCTGAGGAATCAAAGGAGACTAAAGATAAAAGAACAATGCGTTACAAGAAGAGAAAACTAGCACTTACTGAAAATTTTGTGTATCTTCGGCCTTGAATCCAGACATTGTCTTCCATGCTTTTATTGTTAGGTAAAGTGAAATTCGAAGAGAAGTGAAATCAATCTGCTGAGTTCCCTTGACTGGGTCTCAGGCTGGGTTCCGCCCACTCCAACTCCTTCACTTCCAGAACATCACAAACAGACTGAACCCTAACAGAAAGCCAGGTGCACAATCAAATCCCTTCAAGAACTATTCAGTTTCCCTCTTAAGAAAACTGTACTCAAAATATTTACTTTTCTTATTTTTAATATTGATCTAATATTGATTTAATAATATTAATTTAGTAATATTTTAATATTCTTATAAAGGTCCATTTAAACTCGATCTATCTCTGAAATTTTAAAAAGTCGATTTTATAGTCAATAGTCTTTAGAAAGATGCTAATGTGAATATGGCATTTCAGAGAGCTCCCTCACAAAGTTATTTCATTTGTTTTAATTAAATTTGAAGCAAGCAGAGTTATATAGCCAAAACTCCATTTGCCTGAATTCGTGTGTAAAGTTCTAATGGTATTTGTCCGTGATATCCATAGTTTTAGATTTGGATACTGCAGCTATGAATCTCAAAATATGCTTTAGAACTGGGAATTCCGTTTATGAATAAGTCTAGTTAGAAACACTTGATAGAATCACCCAATCTATATAGTCCCCACATTTGGAAACTCAGCTGCAGAATTTGATAGGAACATATTTACTAACTGATAGGTCAGACAAAGCCACAAAGTTATGGAAGACAGAATGTTCCAGACAAGGAAGAAAAGATGAGCACCACAGAGCATGTCATGGTGGAAATCAGGAAAGGTTTTAAGCAGAGGAGCAACGGGCTCTGTCTGATCCACAGAGGTGCCCAAGTGCTGGCAGCAGGGGTCAATTTGCTAAGCTCCTCCTGACAAGGTGTCAAACCTGAAGATTCCTGATCTCTCTGAGCCACTTCATCCTTGGGAGAAGAGAGAATCCTGTAGTTGGCCCCTCTGACAGGTGCTCATCAGGCCTCTCTAGCAGACAGCTCATCCACACCTCTTCCTTGGTTTTGTCTGAAGAGGCATTTGTACCTTTTCCTTATTTTTGTCTGCAAAGTCAGAGGAATGAATGTGGACCTGGCCTCGTTACAAAGACTTGGGTAGATGTTTCCTCCTGGGTGGAAGTGGCCAGCGTGCGTTAGGCCTGAGCCACAGATTTTCTGAGGGGGATCCAAGTCCATGAGGGTGTAAATTAAAAAGTCATCCCTGAATGAATCAGAAGAACTTTTCACGCAGTCTGGTGTCCAGAAAAAGTTCAGTCAACCCTCAAGGAGGAATTTTTTCCCTTCTATCCCCTCTGAATTTTCCTCTTAAATATTTGACTTTTTCTTTTCTGGAAGTGAATATTGTATGTACAACTTTAAAGATGACATTTCTCTAGCATTTCCACTTATTACCATTTTGATTGACATTTCCTACAATTGTAGAATTTCAACATAAAATGTTCACTTGGAAGACAGTGTAATCCTTAGGACACAAAACACTTAAAAATTTCATGAGATACTCTGTAACCTTTATTTCCTTCTAGCTAGCATAAAATTTAGATAAATAATAAGTTATCTTTATTGAGCAATGAACTCATCTATAAATAATCATTGCCCCCGGAAATTTATAAAAACTGAATAATGACCATTAATATTTCAGTAGGAATCTGTAGAAGTTCCTGCCACTGATTCTTGAAGGAAAACTCCGAGGCCGTTTCTTCTGCGTCATTAAGCAGACACAAAACCAGCAAGTGAGATCCTAGCCAAGCCTCAGTGAGTCATTACATACACACAGACCCCGCTGTAGGGGCTGCTGCTCTTCCCCTGGCACTGAGTGCGAGCTTCTCTTCAGGGCTTAGGTTCCCACGTCCTGGAGGCGCAGGCAGGTAGGGCACATCCCCTAGGATGGGTGGCACAGCCCCAGGGCTGGCTCAGAGCTTGACACACTATGCAAGTTCCCTCCCTTGCACTGATCACGCATGAGAACCTGCGCACCTGCAAGGTGGAGGCTTACTGATCTCTCAAGGACTCTAGAGGAGGAGGGAGATCTCACCACCTTTCATTAGATGAGCTCAGTGAGAGACCTGGACACCCTCCATCCCAGTCCTTCAGGATCCACAGCCCCTGTTCTCTGGAAGTGAATCCCCCAATGCCCTCCTTCATTGAGATGGCGAGCTTTATAGCTAAAAGTTAATGAGAGCTTGAACATCTGAATCACCCATAGTTTGGCTGGGTGGGCTTGCATGGTACTTCTCAGATGTCAGTGCTCTTGTGGGTCCCCAGGGATCTTCTAAGCTTGGCATCTCCACCATGAGGGTGTGGGATGGGAAGAGCACACTGCTGCCCATCCGTGGCCATGGATGTGGACCGTGGCCAGCACATCCCAGTCACAGAGCTTCAAGCTGGGCCCCAGCTCTGCTTATCTGACACGAGTGCCATCTGTCAGACGGACTTAGGGAGGCCGGCAAGGTATGCGGATGAGGAGTTTGGGAGACAGCAGTAGAGAAAGGGGAAGGCTGGGAAGCATAAGCCTGGATGGAACATGGGCTTGGGGCAAAAGTACGGCCTTTGCATATCCCCTAATCTCCTTGAAGCTTGGTTTTCTTAACTTTAAAATGCATATGATAGCTCCCACCTCACAGTTTTGTGTGATTCAAGTGAGACCATATTCCCTAACTCTGTCGCTGTGTTCCAAAGAGTTTCAGTGTCACATGGCCCGGGCGGTCCTGAAGACACAGCTTCAGGGAACGCTTTACTCTTCCCCTCCGACTGCATGCAATCCTAACAGAGTTCTCTGGGGACACCCAGACCCTCTTCCGTCGGTCTCTTCCCACTTCTTTTATGCCCAACTACTCCATCCAGAGGAACCAGTTCTATCTGTAAGGAGTGAGGGCTGCAGGACACACCCTGCCTCTTCCTGAGAGAGTGAAGTTTCTATAAAACAAACAACACTCTCTCAATAAGACTAACTGCCTCTGTCAGCAAAGGCGCACTCTGAAAGTTCTCAACAGGGTTAAGAATGGGCAGGAATAAATGCAGTGAAATGAAAAGGAAGGCTCTCACACGGAGACGCTGTGGCCCCTATGTTTGTCCTCGCTTTTGATTTCTTTCCCATCACTCTGGGGAGAGAGTACAGAGTCTTCCTTTCATTCCAAGGTTTGCTTAACACCGTGCTGCATATCCTGTTCTTAACATCTCTGTGTCAAGACTGTTGAGTCAGGGCCAAGCCAGCAAAAGGAGCTCAAAGCTATGCTTGCCAGCCAAACACTGTCTGCTGAGTTCTATGGAATCCTGTGCTTTGGCAAGAAACCCTATAGTGCAGAATCCGCACAACACAGCCATTCCAGTGATTTGCAAGTGGCTCGACTGCTTGGCAGAACTCTTCTGTTGACCCTATTGTTCCCTCTTTTCCTTCCACCTTGTAAGCTCCTGCACTGCAGAGCAGGAAGGGTGTGAGATCAAAGTGAGAGCTGAGGCCAGGTCAAGCGGATTCTCAAGGGCTACACGAGACTGGGGAAAAGGCAAACACTAGATGAATTTTCTCCCCTTGGTGTAACTTCAGGATGGTTGTCCAGGAACAGAACGGCTTTCACTCAGATTAACAAGTTCAATGTAAGAGATGATATTGTTTTTCTCAAGCTAAAAAACTGATAGAAAGATGTCTTTCCTGGGTTTGGTTTGTCATTATTGTGAGCATGCTGACTCATTGATGATCTATTATTATAACGAACCAGTCAATGAAATGCTGCAGCTCACAATAACGACAGTGAATGCTTCTAACCCATTTGGGCTGAGAGTACAGAAGCAGGGTCTGCCAGAGCCTTTTACTTTCCACAGTGCATTTCTGTCTACTGTGACCACAGCCCTCAAGCAGAGATAGTCTGTCATCCAGGTGAAGACTCAGTTCCCCAGCACCTTCTCTTTCCAAACCACCACAGGTCTCTGCACTGTCACCTTTATTCAGCACTGGCACACAGGGCCCTGAGAACTCTCGGTGGCTGTGCTTAATGGTCACTGCTGTTCAGCTCTCTGCTCATCAGCCCAAGCGAGGAAGCCACGAGCACATTCCTCTTCTGCAGTGATTTTCAGTATGTCAGATAAGAATCTCAGTCTGCAGAAAGGCTTATGACTATAAAGCCATGTTCTATGACAGTGCCTTCCAAGGTACATTATACTCACTGAAAAGAGACTCTGTAACATGAGCGCCATGGTAATCATGAGTCAACTGTTGTCACTTTGGCAACACCAGCCTGACATCAGCCAGGAAGACTTAACAACACATTCAGAGTTCAGTGCTGTCCGTTGAAACAGGGACCACTCCATCCCCCAGACGCCAAGGCCACCCGAGACCTCACAGCAGAGCTATCAGCCACATGGCTGAGAATGTGGTTAAAACAAGCTTTCAGCACCACTAGCATTTAAGGAGAGAACATTTTCAATAAAATTTTTGAAAGAAATTATTTTAAAATGTTCAACTCACAAATAATTCTCCAATCCCCTAAGAAGTGTCTGCAGGCTCTGAAGTGACTTCTTTACCTCAGAAGGGAACAAGGCTGGGAGAGAGGGTAAGCAGCCGATACACAGCTGCCCACAGCTTCACTGAAACTCAATCCAGGGCCTCTCCTCTGCTTCACCACTGCACCTTTGGGGTCCTATACTGTGTGCAACAAGTCTGGTCTCACCCAGTTCCGGTATACAAACGGTGTTATTAAAGGTCACTCAGTGGTGCTCAGATATTAAAAATGCATATTCACTTTGAGCAAGGCATGATGGCTGGCTCTTGTAATCTTGACTACTTGAGAGGCTGAAAGAGGAGGATACAGGTTTAAGACCAGCCTGAGAAACATAGTGAGACTGTCTCAAAATAAAATGTAGAAAGAACTTGGGTGTAGCTGAGTGGTAGAGCACTTGCCTCACATATTCACGGCCCTGGATTCCATCCCCAGAATCACAGTGACACCTACACCCATGCACAAACACACAGTTATGAAAACATGGAAACCTGAGTTCCAAGGCAACATTTTCAATTCAAAGTGTAATCTTGTTTTTAAACTGCAACCAGAGCTCCCTCTAATGGCTATTTATTTGAACAGCGAAGTCTTTGGGAAATAAAATGTGTGTTCACTCGAAACTGGAAAGGGATCAATAAGTCATGTGTGTTTCAGTTAGACCATTTGCAACTCAGTCTACAAGTTCTAGAAATTATATTTCCACCAAGAAAAATCTTAGTATACATGAACACAAAGCTTGCTTGATGTGGTGGTTAATTTTACCTTCAGTTTGATTCCAGCACTATGTTGGACCATCTCTGCAACGTGAATTTCTGGTTGAGATTGACATCCGCCTCAGTAGACTGACATAGCTGACTGCTGTTCCTCCCATGGGTGGACTTCATCCAGTCAAGGCCCTGAGTAGAACAAGAGGGCTGGCTGTCCTGCAAAGGAGAAGAGCTCTGCCTGACTGCCTTGAGCTGGGACACTGTCTGCTGCTGCCCTGGAATATCAGCCCTCTTTGGGTCTCAAACTTGTGAGCCCTGAGGGTGGAGCTTACACCACAGCTGTTCCAAGCATTAGGCTTTGGAGCCAGGTGGAACTGTACCATCCCACTCCTGTGTCTCCAGCCTGCAAATGCAGAACTCAGGACTTCTCAGTGCCCAGAATCATCGCGAGTGCACTCTCTCTCTCTCTCTCTCAGTTGGCTCTGTTTCTCTAAGAACCCTGGAATATATTTGCTTTCAAGGAGTTTCAATGTGAACATTTTAGAAGTTTGAGCACTGCTGCCATGCAGACAGCAGCAAGGTGGGGTGGTTCCCCTCAAAGCATCAGCTGCCTGAAACCTCAGGTGGTTTTGACTAAGTCATTGCCAAATCATGCTGGCAGCCATGAACGCAATAAAACTGAGATCTGTGATCATGAACATAGAACAGTATCACATAAAATTATATAAAATATAAAAATGTATTCAATACAAATAATATCAGCTCTACTGATACTGCATTTAAATTCACATTTACTGTCACATTTGATCTGGTCTCCAATAGCAGTTGAGGAAGATAAGTTGGGAAATATCCTGAGTTTAACATTCACATTCATAGCCTGACCCCGGAGAGTGCTGGCTTATAGTGTCGCATCATTTCCACCTCAGTCACAGTCACAGGATCCCCTCTGCCACGAGCCGGCAAGAGAGCATCTTCAGCTATTTCTCTAAGCACAGGGCTTTGGTGATTTTCATCCCACTGACTGTTGCATGGCTGGCTTGGCAGGTCATAGACAATCCCATGTGTACAGATAGAGTCTCGTTTGGATTTAAAGACTGTTCCCATGGAACGGCCACTGAATAAACCTCATCCTTGTGTGTTAAATCCTCCCAACTAAAATGAAATTTGCTAGAATCCAAGAGATATGTCTTAGTCCTGTCTCTCTGGAAGCCCTTTCACAGAGCAGGGCTTTACATACACTGTTATATAAGTGAACTAATGAATCATAACTACTACTGGTTATCATGTGTTGTGCACCCATGGATACCTGAACCAGTGCTGAAATCCTTAAATTCCCCTCTTCAGCAGACAACTAAATGGATGAGGAAACCTTAGCTCAGAGAATTTAAGTGGCAAGATCAATTTCTCAGAGCTGAAGAGCTGCGGTGGTTCTGAGAGCAGTACTTCAACTGTTTGGTTCCAAAGTCTCCACGCTACCCCAGGACTTGCCTACTGTTGATTTAAAAAACAGGGCAAAGTTCACAAGTTGGAGGAGACAATGAGCAGCAGCATGTGGGTGCATAATCTGCAGAGATAGCCGATTGCAGGGTGGAGACTAGAGCTCTCCTGTGATCCCGGGACTGGGAGAACAGCTCCTTGATCCTTCCGGGTGGGGACAGCTGAGAGCTGCACACAGAGTGGTGCCAAGGGTACAGTGGGCATCTTCCCTGGGACACAGAAACATCATAGTGCTCCCAGAACCCACTGGACAAGTGTTTGCTTTCCTAGTTGTGTGCCCCAGGTCTTCCTGAATCATTTGGTCCGAATATTCCTGGTGATGATGCCTGCGACTGTAGGTGGTGGCTCTCAACTCAGTTGCTCTTTTTCATTAAAAAAAGAAAAGGCTATTTTAAGACAATACTCAGCTCTGTGATTTTATTAACAACCTGTTAATAAATCCTGTTTTATTTAAGGGCTTGTATACCTCCTCAGTGTTAATTTGCTAACTTATTTTTATGTTTACTATTCCCTTCCGAATCACATTTAGGCACAGAAGTCTGGATTATTAGCAAGAGTCTGTACATTTTCATTCCCTTCAACATCACATCAGCACCTTGAGAAAAAATTTGACCAAAACGCAACCTTCCTTTCTGGGAGAAAATTTACAAAGAAGCTTTGTAAAGGTTATGCAAATAATGAAAAGTTAGCTATTGCACAAATATTTATCACCATAACTGTATTTCTCAAATAATATTTTGTATCCTTACTCCTGTGATCCCTGCTAGGAGTCTCAAGAGCAGAGAAGTGGAGAGGAGACCAGTGAGGAGGCAGAACTCGGAGGCCTCACCTCTCCAAACTGAAAGGGGATTGCAGATTTCTGGTTTGAAAATGCAAGAGAAAAATATTGGGAAAATAATGACCTCTGTTTAGGCATGAGTTGTCGGGGATATCTGTGTGGTGATGAATTTATGCAACACTTTTCAGGCTTTAGAATCCATAGTATAATTTCTAGAAATAATATTTGGAGGGATTTCTTTTCATTCAAACCCCAGCACAGGTGAATTACCTGCGAAGATTTCATAGAAATATATAGTCCAAATCACACCTCGCTGGTGCTAGCACTTTGGTAGTCTCATTTATTCTATTGAAACTACGTGGTGTTGTTCCTTATTCTTCTGGGAATGGTTAGGATAAGTTATATTTTTCTAAAAATATTTCTCTTTTGCCCGGATTTTTGAAGTTTTTCCTCAGAGTTGAGGAAAGCGATCTGTTGTGCTTGTTTTGTTTCCTTTGTTTTGATCATTATTTCCCTCATAGCATTCATTTTCTTATTTTACGAGTCTGTGTTTCTTCTCTTTTATTTCTTCATTATGACAGCTGGTATATATATATTTTTTAGATAAGCAGGGGAGGGAGGAAGGAAGGCTAGCTGCTGAGTGGGCGCTGACCACTGCGCCCACCTTCCTGACCGCGGGCCCCACGCGGAGACGGGAGCAGGATCCAGCAGGTGCTGCTGCGCACAGTTGCGGACGCCTGCTCCTTCCTCGTCCCCTTCCTCCTCCACAGGCACCTGTGACACAGGGTCAAAGAAACGGGCTTTCGACTCATCGGTCAACTTCCAGATTTATCAGGTGTTCTGTCTTCCGCTTCATGGACTTCAGTCTCTAAATTCATCATTCCTATCTTCTGAACTTCTTTAGGTTATTTTACTACTTTTTAACATTTTGAGCATGCTTATTTCATTTACTTTCTTTACTTTTTAACTGATATGAGAATTTAAGGCTATTAAAATTCTCCTCAAATTACCTTTAGCCCTCTTTGTATACTTTGTGGTGTTTTGTCTTCTCCTTCTCAAAATACTACAATTTTGTTTTGTATTTCTTCTTTAACCAAAAAGTTGTTCTAGAGATGTGGTAGTGATGTTTTTAATAACCAGGACAAAAGGTACTACTGGGTTGTACTGGTATTAGTTTTTCTTTCCTTTTCTTCTTTTCATCACAGAATTTATTCTTCTATTTGAGGGCTACTATATGATCCATTTTCTTGAATCTTCCATAGTCATCTATATTTTCAGGAATAATTGTTCTGTAAATCATATTGATCACACCTGTCTTATTGCTAGTTTTGTTAAGACTTCTATATCCTTAAAATTTTTATTTACTTCCTCTATTAAGTATAGTAATGTCATTTACCACTGCAATTTGATCTCCTATCCTTCATTTCAGTTTAATAAATGTTGATCATGTTACTTTGAATATCTATGTATATGTTTATTACTTTGTATGAATCACACGCTAACATTATATAAAGAACATTAATCCCATCTTGTATGTTTGGCATTAACTAATATTCTTTTTTATAACATTGTGATCTTTTTCCTTCTTTTTGTGAAGCAGAACATTATTTTCTCTTCAGCCTATTTGAAACACTGATTTAGATGGTTCTCTTGTGTACAATTTTCTCTGTGATCCAATCTGAACATCTTTTTCTCTTAATAGGTTAGGTGAGACCATTTACATATAGTAATATCACAAATGTAACTGGCTTTCCTTCTGTAATGAAATGTATATGTTCTCCATCTTTGTAAGTTTTACAGTTCTTTGTTGCTTGCTTTTTTATGTATCTCTTTCCCAGAAGTCTACAGGACAGTGAGCTCCCCCTTCCTGGGACTGCCCTGGGTAGACTTTGACTGATGAAATTTACTGATTCAAAGAAAAGTGAGGGTGTTATGGGGTTGCTCTTACTGAATTGTTGCCTTTTATTTTCTTGTGTTTCTTTTTGACAGCTCACTTTTCTCTCCTTCCTTGAGTCTTTGCATTTCTCCTTGGTTATTTTCCTTCATGGTGGCAACTGATTTCTTAGAGTGCTTCTATCTGACTCCAGGCAAATTGCAGTATTCACATATTGCGTTGAAAGTTTTGCCAGGTTTCTTTCTTTTCTTTCTTTCTTTCTTTCTTTCTTTCTTTCTTTCTTTCTTTCTTTCTTTCTTTCTTTCTTTCT